TGGTAGTCTGGCGCCTTGCTGCTGCCTCTCTACAATCCCAGTGAGGGCCTTGTCCTGCCCCTCACTTAGGAACACTGAGGCAAAGAACTCATTGAGGAGTTCAGCCTTGTCCCCCCTGTCCATCACCAATTGCTTCTGCCCATTTAGTAGGGGTCCTATTCCACCCTGGGCCTTCCTTTTACTCCCTGTATATCTAAAAAACAATTTTTTGTTATCCTTAACTTGGGATGCCATCCTCAGCTCCATGCTAGCTTTGGCCTGTCTAACTGCCTCCCTACAAGCGTGAGCAGAGGAGGTATACTCCTCTTTAGTAATCTCTCCCCGTTTCCACTTTTTATATGCCCCCCTTTTAGCCCGTAGACTGCTCTGGATTTCTCTGGTCAGCCAAGGAAGACTCTTGGCCCCTTTCCCCCTTTTTCCCTGCATCGGGATCGTCTACCTCTGTGCTGGAAGGATCATTTCCTTAAGGCACAGCCACCCTTCCTGGGCTCCCATCTCTTTAAAACTCTTACTCTGCAGTGCATCCTTGACTAAATGCTTGAGTTCATTGAAATCAGCTTTCCTAAAGTCTAGCACTTTCACCCTACTAGTTACCTTACCCACTTGATGTCTTATGGTGAATTCTATTATTTGGTGATCACTGTCCCCCAGGTGACCACTGATCTGTAGGTCTCCTACCATATCATCCCCCATTGCCAATGCAGGTCCAGTAAGGCGAGCCAGGTCATATGCCAGCCAGGTCCTTTGATCCTTGAACAGTGTAATTCACTGTGAATACCAAAGGAGGCTCCTAAGAGCATGGGGTGCGGGGGTCATGGAGCACTGGGGGATGTAGGTAGACCAACCAGCTCTTTGTTTCACTCTGTTGAAAAGTGCAAATGTAACATGAAGCCCTTCAGAGTTGTTACTGTTTTTTCCCAGGTCATTGTTGAAGCAGAGCAGTCATTTTTTAAGTGCTTCATTGGCCAAATATGTCTGCACCCTTACTTTTTGGAACACTTAAAGGATATGTCTGTCCATGACCATACTGTGATGGAGAAATTGGAATAATCTTCTACAGACAGTGTAGTGGGATTGCACTTCATAGTAAATTGTATATTGTAACTGTATTTTAACATATTTCCCCTTCTGATTTATTATTCTACTTTCTGAAGTTGTGAGAAAAGCAGGTAGTGTTTTTGTAGCTCCAGTAGTTCCTTTTTTAATTATTAGGGATGTTTATACACATGTTCCCGGAGTGGGGAGGGGAGAAGGGGGGCGCTTTAATTAGAGCAGCTCTGAGAGTGCTCTAAGTAAAGTGCTCGGAGCATCTTGTGTATCAGTGTCCCTGCACTTCAAAATGATGGTGAGGGCACTTTAACTAAAGCTCATCAAATGATCTTTAGTTAAAGCACCACCACTGCCATTTTGAAATGCAGGAATGTTGATACATGAGATGCTGGAGGCTGCTAAATCACAGTAATTACCAAGCTCCAGTAGACTCAGTTAATTGAGTCTGCTCCAACATGCTGCCATTATAGCGCGTCGGAGCAGCCTTGCTGCTTGTGTATAGGTACCCAAGGGTTTTGACATTTTTTTAAAATTTAAAGCAGTTCTGTTGTGAACACACAATAGTGGTGTCTCTAGAGAAATGCAGGATTTAGCTAAGCTCTTTAGCTCTGATTGGATAAGTAAGGTCAAGAATGGCACTCCCTAGGTTTAACAAAATTACACCCATTTCATTTTCACAGGAAATGGGGCGACATGATGACCTCTGGTCTCTGTTCTACATGTTGGTGGAGTTTGTGGTTGGACAACTGCCTTGGAGGAAAATAAAAGACAAGGTAAAGGGGGGACTAGGGAAAATTTGCTTCAGTTTGTGCACAAATATTTTCACACAGATTCCATCCAAGAATCATGAAAATGTTATGAATCAGTGTTACATAATTGTTTCTAGTGTTTTCTCACTTCACAGCACTGATATGTCATAACATTTTATAGCGTGTTAAAATATATATTCAAGACAGTTGGTATATGAATTAGATTGAGCTTATACTTTTACATATGTATTATAGAGCAGTGGTTCTCAACGTTTTTTGTTCTAGGACTCATTTTAAACATTGATGGCCAGTCCTGACTCAGTGTGTGGGGCAGGGGTGAGGAGAGCATGGGGGGCCCCAAGTAGCCCTTTGGAGGCTGGAACTCTGCCATCCTGCAAGGGAAAACCACCCTTTCCCAAATTTTTCTCTTTTAAAGGAGAATCTATTTTGAAAGTTTGTTCGCAACCCTTTCAGATATTCTTGTGACCCATGGATTGAGAAATGAGGGAAAAAATGTAAGCATGCATCTGTTACTCTATATGCAGATCAGTGCCTTTTGCCTTCCTGTGCCTTACTTATAAAATTTCATTTCTAGGTTGATGGTCCATTTGGGAAACAGGCATTCACTATGTATTACTGGATGCATTTAACCCGGTTGATCTGTGGCTGTGCTATGAAGCAGTTTTCATACAGGAGACACAAAGAAAAAACAACTTTTGATGCACTGAATCAGTTACCATATTTACTCAATTCTAAGAGATGGTTTTTCCCCCCCCATTTAACATGGGGAGGAGGGGGCGCTCCTTATCTTACAATTGCATAAGAAAGGGCTGAGGGGACAGTTGGCTGCTGTGGCTCAAGTCCCAGCCCCTGTCCAGGGTCTGGCTATAGCTGCAGATGCTGCCTGTCCCTTCCCCCCTCCCTGCTGCCTCTGAACCCTGCAAACCCTCCCTATAGCCTCGTTCCCTCATTTCCACTCAATCCACGTGGCCTCAGCTCCCATGCCTGCCCCTTTCCCTCTGCCTTACCTTTGCTCCACTCTGGTAGACTCCATGCACACTGTAGTCTGGGTCACTGAGCATGGCCCTAGCCTAGCCCCTGTAGCAGCAATGCGGGGGCAGAGAATAGGGCCAGAGCCTGTCAGTACAAAGCAAGGGTAAGAGGAGGGAACAGAGGCTGAGGGAGAAAGGTGGATCCCAGCGGCTGCAGGAGGTAAGGCAGGGGCAGGGAGGGCAGGCATAAGCAGGGGGCAAGCCACTTGACCTTCCGATAACATCTGCCTCCCCCCTGCAGGGATTGGGGGATGACTCTAATTAATCAATAATTAGATTCTATACATGGAACATTATACAAATGTATAGTTTTTTATATATATATATTTATTACTTATAATTTATAATTTTTTTGTATATAGAATCTAATTTTGGGGGGGTTGTCTTAAATTCAGGGTCATTTTGGATTCAAATAAATGTGGTACTTCTTTGAGAAAAGCACTTCTTCATATACGTGGTTATACTAGTAAATGAAGGTGTTCTGCACTGAAGATTGCTCCTACTATTCTGACCTCAGAAACTACAGGCATAATGTTATTGGACTGAACAGCATCCTAAAAATCTACTAAGTAGAGGTGGATTAAAGAACGTAAATGTGTGTCCATAATTTGTTAAGAGTCATGATGGCTAATCATATACAGTGGTGTCAAACAAAATCAAAAGAAAAGTAAATGAAATTAGAATTTAGATATTGAAATTGAGTCTTTGTAAAACATTTTACATCAGGCATCTAGGGCAATGATAGGAGTTCTGGTCCTATCATATCCCAAAGGATTAATTAACTCCTCCCACATCCCACCAAGGATATTGCACATCCTTTGAGATATATGGTGTGATTATTCTGCAGCTGAGAATGGAGTTATGCTAATGGAGGGTTTTCTGTTTTAATTGTTCCTAGGAGCAAGTGGGCTCTATTAAAGAGAGGTATGAGCATCGGCTCATGTTGAAACATCTGCCTCAAGAATTCAACATCTTTCTAGATCATATCTCCAATTTAGATTACTTCACAAAGCCTGATTACCAGGTAAGCATTTTTTGCAAGGTTTATTTTGTATTTCAAATGTTTAAATAATTCTATGCCACTTGGATTTTCTCATTCTGTATCCACGGTTATGATGATTGCAGACTCCTGCATCAAACTGTTTTAGTGGCCATCTGGCTCTGATGCATGTTTGACATATTGAAGATGTCTGTCTGTCTGTGGGTCTGTCTGTCTGCCTGTCTGTCTCTTTTTTTCCAATTTGGGAAACGGTTTGAAGCATAACTGCTTGGTGCTTTGAAATCCAGATTTTACCCTTGATGTCACGTGGCTCTTTACATGGAGGGGAGTCCACTGTTGTAGCAGGCTCCACTGTGTGCTATTTGAAAAGGATTGGTTAGATTGTTTTTGTACTAATGGCTACACTGGCAATTTGCCAGGATCTTGAGAGTGCCAACTGCTATAAATAGTATGGAACAGATTGTGACTGTCCTCATTTTTTGATACTAAAGTGTGGCCTGCAAAAATTATACATATCAGGACAAGGTGTTATCAAATTTGCTTAGTTAAGGTAAAGTACTGCAGGCTGGGATTACTAGCTCATTTCTCTATTAAACTGGTGGTAGCTAACATGAAGAATCCATATTTTTGAACCACATTTCAACATTGAATGCCTCAAGAATAATAATTGTGTACTGCAATTCAGCGACCAAAAAATGGCAGAAGGAAGGTTACTTATTGTAGGATTTCTGATCATAGTGAATTGTATGCCTGACATGGATATTAATAAATAAAGTGCTATACACAGTCTTTGAAACATAATTTACAAAGTTTCTTCTGCTCCAACTAATCACAACCTTGGTTAAAACCACCTTTGAGATATACACCGCTCTGACATCATGCATCATCATAGTATTATGATGCTATATTACAGGAGTGGGCAATTATTTAGGGTGGAGGGCCGCATACCCAATTTTGGCAAGCTGTCAAGGGCCGCATGGGTAGCCCTGCCCCTTGACGGGTGCCCCGCCTCCTGGTCACCATTTTGGGACCAATGTCTTGGGACTAATGTCTCAGGGCCAGCACCGGTAGGGTCATGTGGGGTGCAGGCTGCCAGGGGTCTGTGGAGCCAGGCTGGGCTGCACCAGCAGGGAGATGGGGGAGCTGGCCCGGCTCCATAGAGCCCCTCCTGGCTGAGACCCTGTACCTCTGCTGCCCGGCTTTGGACCCTGCTGGCACTGGCCCTGGGACACCAGTGCGGGCCCTGTGGTCCCACACCCGCTCACTCCCAGTGCCCCCCAGCCCCCCGGTACAGGCGGGAGGCAGTGCACAGCCCTGACCCCCTGCTTGCTGGCGGGGAAGGAGCTGGTGCGGAGCACAGGGAAAAGCGGCCCCTTGGTCACCCCGTGGCTGGTGCTCCCTGCTGCAGCCGCTCGCAGGCCACGTAGGGCTGTCCTGAACAGGCACAGCAGCCCCATGCGGCCTGCAAGCAGCTACAGTGCGGGGTGCTGGCCATGGGACGGGCAAGGGGCTGCTTTTCCCCTGCACTCAGCACCAGCTTGTAACCTGCCCCTGCTGCCAGCCTGGGTCCCATGCTGGCTCTGGGCTCACCCATCTGGGCTGCGCACAGTGGCAGCAGCTGCAGCCCCTCCGCTTGCTGTGCCAGGCAGTGTTTGCTGCTGCTGCCTGTCCGGAGCTCATGTGCTGGGCAGCCCAGAGGTGGCACTGCCAGCCTCACCGCAGCCTAATGTGGCACATGCTCCAGGTGGGCAGCAGCAGCAAACACTGCCTGGCACAGCAAGCGGAGGGGCTGCAGCTGCTGCCACTGTGCGCAGCCCAGATGGGCGAGCCCAGAGCCAGCATGGGACCCAGGCTGGCAGCAGGGGCAGGTTACAAGCTGGTGCTGAGTGCAGGGGAAAACTGGCCCCTCACCCACCCTGTGGCTGGCGCCCCGCACTGCAGCCGCTTGCAGCCCACATGGGGCTGCCTGTGCCTGCTCAGGACAGCCCTGTGAGGGCTGCAAGCACCTGCAGCAGGGAGCGTGGCCACAGGGCAGGGGAGGGGCCACTTTTCCCTATGCTCCACACCAGCTCCTTCCTTGCCCTTCCCCTCCACCTCCTTACCTGAGCTTCCTGCACCGGGGCAGTCACATGGTCCCGGGCCAGAAGCCGCTGCTGAGGCGTCCGGCTGGGGAGGGGGACGG